AGTATTAACGCTCAGTGCAGATAGGAGTACAGTACACAGGATTAAGTGTTCAAGTGTTATATAGGAAAGACTTCAGCACACTGGTATTTATCATTGAGTAACAAGGCTCAGTACAGGTGAAAGTTCAACACAGACACGTCAATGTATTAAGGTGCAATACTCTTGAATTGAGTACACCATTGTCAGCACTCCACTCCCTACAGTACAGCCACTGATAACCATGATCAGAACAGTCCATCTGAGCAAAGTACCTCACTCTGGGGATACAAGACTGTGTCCCCTCTGGAATCAAACCTGCAACCCACAGTCAAAAAGCCCTGAAAAATAGACAGGAGAGGTTTCAAGTCTTCATGCATACCCGTCTTCCCACTGGCCGCCTCTGGGCAGCCCGGAAAATACAGGAGAGAGAGTTAAGGATCAATCCCAACACCACATCCATACCTGCCTCTCGACTGTCTGCTTGTGGACATCATGGAAAATTAGGGAACAAGAACACAGGACAGGGTTCAAACTTCATACAAACCCGTCTTCCACAATGTCAGGCTCTGCACTTTTCCTGGAAAATAAGGAAAAAAAACAGGGAGAGAGCAGCTACCCTCTATCCCAACTCCTCATACATACCTGTCTTCCCACTGGCAGCCTCTGGACATCCTGGAAAACTACAGAAATGAAAACGGGAGAGAGCATCAACCTCCATCCACACTGGTCTTCCCACTGGCTGTTTTCTGGACATCTCTAGGATGTCTAGCTAGACATCTGTCTAGCAGCATCTGAACTCCAATCCGTCTTCCCACTGTCAATTCTTTTGGATATCCTGGAAGTTAGGGAAAAAATACAGGAGAGGGTAACCAACCTCTATCCCAACTCTTCATCCATACTGGTCTTCCCACTGTCAGCCACTGGACATTCTGGAAAACTACAGCAATGATCACAGGACAGAGCATCAACCTCCATCCACACTGGTCTCCCCACTGTCTGCCCCTGCATTGGAGTCCATCTTGACCTTTGACCCCTGACTTGTATATGAGCTCAGAGAGCAGGAGACGCTGCTGGAGACAGGAGAGCATCAATCCCCATTCTGTCTTGCTCATCCACACTGGTCTTCCCACTGTCAGCCACTGGACATGCTGGAAAATAAGAAAAGAGACAGGAGAGAGTATCAACCTCCATTCCAACTCCTACTCCATACCAGTCTCTCCACTGGTAATTTTACAGGCATCCTAGAAAATCAGGGAAAAGATTATAGGAGAAAACATCCAACCTCTATCCCAGCCATGCTTGTCTCTCCACTGTCTGCCCCTGGACATCCTGGAAAATAAGGAAAAGAAACGGGAGAGGGTTTAATCTTCATACAGCCCATCATCTTCCCACTGCCTGCCACTGGACAGCCTGTCTTCCCATTGGACATTCTGGAAAACCACAGAAATGATCACAGGACTTCATCCACACTGGTCTTCCCACTGACTTCCCCTGGATTGAAGTCCACCTTGACCTTTGACCCCTGACTGTTTGACCTCAGAGAGCAGGAGACACTGCTGGAGACAATGGGGATTGATGGTCTCCTCTATCCATACCCATCTTCCCACTGGCAGCCCCTGAACATCCTGGAAAATGAGAAAAGAGAGACAGGAGTGAGCATCCACCATCCATTCCAACCCCTCCTCCATACCCGTCTTCCCACTGTCCATTTTATGGACATCCTAGAAAATCAGGGAAAAGATTCTAGGAGAGAACATCCAACCTCTATCCCAGCCATACTTGTCTCTCCACTGTCTGCCCCTGGACATCCTGGAAAAGTGAGGGAAAAAAAAAACAAGGGTTCAATCTTCATACATGCATGTCTTCCCAGTGTAAGCCGCTGGACTTACTGGAAAATGGAAAAGGGAAGAGAGACAGGAGAGAGCATCCCACCTCCATCCCAGGACACGCTGCTGTAGGCTGCACAACTGTGACAACTGGTTCCTGTGTCTGAGGGCAGCAGTCTGGCTCTGCAGTCTCTCCGTGCCTGGTCATCTGGCTTCAGCCCAGCGCTCGCTCACCTCTCACTCAAGATTGTGTTAATTCAACAATAACATACTTCACCAGGCTCTTATCAATACTAGTAACTTTATAACAGTTCTCCTCTCTCACTAGTAGGGTTGTGTGTTCATGCCCCGAGTGTGACACAGGAGTGACAGGACTAACCTGACCTTGTGCTCGAGCTGGACTCGGGTTCGAAAGTGTAGTGTCAACAGCACACTGACCAGGATCTTGTGGGCAAGAGACAGCAGGAGGTCAGGACACAGCCCTGAGGGTCACCCCCTGGAGCCCCGATAGGAGGAGAGCCAGTGGACTCCTCGCCTGGAGCTCATCTCTAAGGAGCAGCCTGAATCAGGGTCGTCTGCAGCTTTTCGTCATCATGGTCATCCTCACAGGCTTCGGTAGGCAGGAGATCAGGACACCCTGGATGTCTCCTCGAGACGACTCCTGCTCTGTCCCCTCGGAGTCTGTGGATCCAGATTGGTCCGATCAGCACCGATCATGTAAGACCAGCGTCACCTGCGAGGGACAGCCAGTGAAGGAGAGACTCACCTGGTCTGCACTCACCTGCCTGGCACCTCGTGCCCTTCGGTGCCGATGGGGTACCCTGTATCCTGCGCTGACCAGTCAAGAACATCCTCTTGTCCTCTACCCGCAGGTCTGGGGGTGCCCTCTCGTGCGTAGTACAGGGTCTGACCTGGCTCCTGGTGGGAATAAACAGGCCTGAAGGCAGCCTGTGCTCCACCAAGTCCCGACTGCTCCGGTCCAGAGCTGCTGTTCTGGTGACCCGTCCTGGAGAAACACAGATGTGTTGTCCACAAGTGTGTCGTCTCCCCTTCCTCACCTCGTTCAGAGGTTCCGAGACCCCTGGGCTCCTCCTCCTCCTCCTGGCCAGCCCGAGTCTCCGGGGGGGGTCCAGGCGCTGGGCTCCTCCCAGAGTCGAGGTCCAGGAGGAGTTTCTTCCTGTTGGCTTCTCCCAGATCTTCCAGACTCCTCAGGCCTGAGCCAGGCTGGGAGGAGGGAACCTTCCCTGAGATCCTGGAGACCGACGTCCAGACGAGACGACCGGAGAGATGGAGCCGATGGGGGAGGATGAGGGCGTCAGGGCTCCTGGTGTCTGACTGGGAGAGAGCTCCGATGTTGGGGCATCTGTCCTCCCTCTTGAATTTTCCTCCTTCAGGATCCCACAGATCATGGTTGAGTGTGTTCAGTGTCACACAGGAATGTTCTTTGGCTTCAACTGTCTGGTACCCAACTCCTCCAGCTCTCACCTGGCTGGTTCCCCACTCCTCTCACCTTTACAGTGAACACGGAGAGACCCACTGGTTTAGTGACTCACCATTGCAGTGAACACCCAGCACAGAGACTATGTAGTAAAATAATTAATCACAAAATAAACTGAAGTTTTTTTGGATGGCCATTGCTGAACACCCAGCATAGTGAAGATGCAATAATTATTCGTAGAAGGCAGTGACTGGTTTAGTGTCCACCCATTACAGTGAACATTCTGTACAGAAAATATTTAATGAAATGATAAACAATGACATCAACAGGTGTAGTGACTTACCATTTTAGAGAATATCTTGGAAACCATTACTGTGAATGTCCAACACAGAAAGTTATCGATGACAGTGAATACCCAGTACAGGGCCTATCAGTCACAGAGAATAATTACAGTGCTTATCTGTTACAGTGAATACCAGTTAGTGAATAATTGTAATTATCTTTTACAACAAGATACCAGTAACAGTGACTGGCCATTACAGTGAATAAGAGTGAGTATTCAGGACAAAGACTGTTGTGACTAACCATTACTATCCAGTAAACTGAATATCCAACAAAAACTGCCTGGATCAGTGACTAACCATTAGAGAGAAACTCCAGCACAGTGAAGACACAAAAAGATATTTAGGAAAGAAACTGGTTTAGTGACCTACCATCCCAGTGCATTCCCAGCATGGGAAATAGGCAAATGAACTAATTATTCAGGAAGCAGACTGGAGAGACCGTCTGGTTTAGTGGTTAACAAGTACAGAGAATATCCAGAAAAGGAGTCCTTGTTAATTCTGTCAGGTTTTCAGTCGTTTTGGTACAAAATCGTCCTTCATGAAGCAACACCTGCAGACTTCCACTGATCTGGTCCAAACTTCCATCTCCGTTCTCCAGGGAATCATGTGGGCTTGTGAGGAGAATCGGAGTTGAACAATAATAAACTTTGACATATTCATACCTGGTCGGATATTAAAATTATCATATGCTCAGTATAGCTGGTAATACTCAAACTTACGTCCACACTAAACCCGACAGTGAAGTAGCCGTCTCTGCTCTGTACTGCGACTCTGGACTGTATAAATACAGGTCAGGTGTGACTCTGGACCGCGTGTCTCTAGACTATATAAATACAGGACAGGTGCGCCTCTGGACCGTGTGCCTCTAGACTATATAAATAAATACAGGACAGGTGCGCCTCTGGACCGTGCGCCTCTAGACTATATAAATAAATACAGGACAGGCGCGCCTCTGGACCGTGCGTCTCTAGACTATATAAATACAGGACAGGTGCGCCTTTGGACCGTGCGTCTCTAGACTATATAAATACAGGACAGGTGTGCCTCTGGACCGTGCGTCTCTAGACTGTATAAATACAGGACAGGTGTCTCACTCACCTCTCTCTCCTGCTCCGTGACTGAGCCAGTGGACTCACTTGTGCTGTGATCAGACTCACTTGTGCTGTGATCAACACATCAGGGTGGGCTCTTCTTCCTTTTCCTGTAAATTTCAAGACCAGAAACCCTTCAGCACAGGCAGCAAGTTCTCCTCCTCAGTGTCATTACTAATGTCATGCTCCTGCCCAGCTTTATTCAGCAAACAGGAACATGAGGGTGGATGAGACTGAGGAAGAACTACAATGAGTTGTTTTTCCTACAACAGACAAGACAGATCACAAAGAGGAGGAGTCATCAGGCCCATCTTACCCTCTGGCAGTTAGTAGTTACAAGTCTGGAGGATCTTGAGAGAAGCCAGGGTTCAACAACATGGCCGGGCAGCTTGTTCCCCACCTCCACCAGCCTTTGTGTAATGAAGTGTAGATATGACCCATCCAAGAGCAAGCTCCAACTTCCACCCACCTGCTGGGAATAAACACTTCCACAAGGAAGTAATGCAACCAACGTCTGCATTTTTCCCCAGAGGATTTAAAGACTGAACACACCTCCTTCATCTGCCCTTGACCCACCATCAGGATGTCCCACACAGAGCACAAGCAGCCTCACAGGACCACTTCTCTTGCCTCCTCGAGGTATCAGTCTGGCTCTCTTCCCAGTTTGAACTCACCCCCACACAGCTGCAAGAAAATATTTTCATCTCTCAACACTGAGATCACATCCCGCCACACCCTAGATAAAGAAGAGAGTGGGATTTGTCCCACCTGTAAGCAGTCTGGTGCCTCTTCTGATGGGGATCTCTCCTCCGTCTCTGGTGGTGCAGTAGGACAGTCCGTCTCTCTGAGCCTCTCAATTCTCAGACCGGGAGAGTGAGTGGAGCTGGAAGACCAACAGGACTGAGAACGATACAAGAACCCCCTCTGTCAGGAGTGGAGACCCCTCTAGTCCCCCTGCTGTAGACCTGCTCACCCTCCACAGTGACGATCGCAGTGCTGATGGTGTTTCCCTGAAGATCCCTCACTGTGTAGCTCCCCTGATCAGACGCCCTCAGCTCCTGCAG